CTGACCCCGGGCGGGCACTAGCTCTGTTTGCTTCTGTCTCTCCCCTTGGCTCTAGGGCTGCACCAACAGCCTTTTCCACGGCCATTGCGACTGTCCCCGTGTGCAAGCAGGCTTGAGGTTTTGCCAGGATCCTTGTGACTTACATCAAATTGTATATGTATGTTTTTCTTTCTTTTTTTTTTTAATGTTTTATTTATTTATTTATTCATGAGAGTCAGAGAGAGAGAGTGGCAGAGGGAGAAGCAGGCTCCCCGCCTAGCAGGGAGCCCGATGCGGGACTCGATCCCAGGACCCTGGGATCATGACCTGAGCCGAAGGCAGACGCGTAACGACGGAGCCACCCAGGCGCCCGTGTATGTTTGTTTTTCAATCCCAACCATGTGAGATATTCTTCCGTTCTTCTCCAGTGTCCCTGTTCTGAAATTAGCCAGCAGAAAGAGGTGGCTGTACGAATCTGCTGGCTGTCAACTGGGAACATCTTAGGATCCCTCTTCCGGTGTTGGGGGCACAAGGCTCTGCCCCCAGCTTCCTGCCTTTTTGTTATTGTTGTTGTTGTTTTGGTGCCCATTGTTCTCAAGCCCATTTAACCTTTGGCATGTCAGGAAAATACTCCAGGACTTTTTTGGAAGATCGAAGAAGGCAGTTGACTTGGGGGTCATGCTTCACTTCTCATTTCTTAGCCTGTGGTTCATCAGGAAAGCCCCACCCTCATCCTCACGTCTTCAAGGGCCTCAGTCTGTATGCCACAGTCTTGCCCCATAGCAACCTCAGACTGCACCACCCTGCGGGACGGGCACAGAGGGTGGGGGCAGTTGGACAGACTCAGACCAGCAGGCCAACTTAGAAAAGAGGATCAACCACCTCCAGCTGGGGTGCAGAGCTCCCAGGAGTGTGGGTGGGCGGCAGCCAAGGGTTGTCCAAAGAGATGGGGGGGGCACTTGGCCCTCAGCCTGGGCCACCTCCAGTGGCCCAGCAGCAGCTCCGAGGCATGGCCCTGGACCTCTTTCCCGGCTCCCCCAGCAGTGCCGATTCACATTCTGGGGTGAAGGGAGGTGTTGCTATTTTTAAAGAGCCCCTCTCCCAGAAGGTTCTGCTGGGAAACCCGGTTTTGGAACATTTTACTCAAATTGCGGGTTGTAAATGGGGGAATTGGCAATCTCTAACATAGATGGTCCAATTCAAGGAAAATGGTGAAAGTGATTTTTATCTGTAGACCTGGTGTTGCCAAGAAAATTGAGTGTTGTTTGTGGAAGGGACAGATGCCTCCTGATTTCCAGTGACAACATAGTTTGGGTTATTGCCTGGGTGTTATTACTAAGGGTAGATTGCAACATTCATCTCCTGACCAGTTCCTAGGAGTAAGTAACAGCACCCTAAGACAAACCACCCCAAACCGCCACAAGCTGTAGGTGAGAAGTAATGCATCATCTCTTCTGTGGAAATGGCTTGCATGTATAGAGGTCAAACGTCAGAGACTGACTCTGAGAAAGCACTGACTGCAAAATAACCATGATAAATCTGTGAAAAAGAGAGTAAAAGACAGATAAAATTGATGCAAAATGGGGGCATTTCACAGGGGAATTGGAATCTACAAAAATCATCAAATGGACATTCTAGATGCACAAATAAATATTTTAAATGAGGGTATTTCAGATGGCTGTAACAGCAGACTGGATACAGCAGAACGCAAGAAAATAAATTTGAGGACAGATCAATAGAAAATATCCAAAGTGAATCACAGAGAGGAAAAAATTATAAACACAGAATAAAGTGTAAGACACATAGGAAGGAAGGACATTACTCGAGAGCAACACAGGTGTAGCTGGAGTCCTGGAGAAAGGGGGGGGGAGTGGGGAGAGAAGCAATACTTGAAGAAATAATAACCAAATATATTTTCCAAATCTTATGAAAGGTAGTGACCTGTGGGTTCAAGAAACTAATGGATAAATAATTTAAAAAAAAATCCAACCTAGGCACATCATAGTAAAACTATCTATAAATCAATCTATAAACTATTATCAGTCATAGATGATTTTAGGAAATTTGCTAATATGTGGAAATTAAACTACATGCTCCTAAATAAACAATGCTTCAAAGAAGAAATAGCAAGGGAAATCAGAATACACTTTGCTATGAATGAAAATGAAAAACGCAACATACCAACATTTGCGGGTGCAGAGAAAACAGTGCCCAGAGGCAAGTTTACAACTGCACGTGCCAATATTAAAAAAGAAGATCTCTGGATCAATAACCTGATCTTCTACCTTGAAAGAACCTAGACTAAGTAGAGCAAACTAAGCCCAAAGCCAGCGGAAAGAAGGAAATAATAAAGATGGGAGATTATTATTGGAAATAATAAATAATCGGTTTTAGCAAAGTTGCAAGATACAAAGTCTCCATATAGAAAAACCAATTTTTATTTCTACATTGTAGCAAGAAACAACTGGACAGTGAGGTTAAAACATATCATTTATAATAATATAAAAATACGAAAAAGAAGAAATCCAACTGAAGATTTCTTCGACGGACAAGAACTACGCACTGAAAACTTTATAGCACTGCTGAGAGAAACCAAAGATGACAAGGGGACGGAGAGATAGTCCATAGACATGGGTGAGGACACTCAGTGTTGTAAGATGTCCCTTCTCCTCAAAGGGAACTGTAGATTAATGCAATCTCTGTCAAAACTCTAGTACATTTGCTTTCTTTCTTCTCTTCTTCCCCCTTTGGATGACAATTGACCAGCTGAGTCTGAAATTTATATGGAAATACAAAGGATCTAGGTCACTGTCATATTTCGGGACTTATTTGGAAACTGCAGTGATGGCTGTGGTGCGGTGTTGGTGTAAGGACAGACAGACAGAACAATGGAACAGAATAGACAGTCCAGAAATGCACCTTCCTCCCATGTATGGCTACTTGATTATATCAAAGGGCTGGTGCAATTTGATGGAGAGAGGATGGTGTTTTCAGGAAATTGGCACTGGAACAATTGAGCGAGCATATGGAAACGTGCACCTTGACCTCTGCCTTTCACACAGAAATTAACTTAAAATGGATCATAAACTTAGATGTGAAAACCAAAACAATGGTGCTTCTAGAAGAAAACATAGGAAACTATTTTCATATTCTCATGGTAGGCAGAGATTTCTTAGAGAAGACATGCGTACAAAGACAACTCCAAGCCATAACTATAAAGGAAAATGGTGATAAATTGGATTTTATTAAAATGAGGAACTCCTATCATGAAAAAACATTAAGAAACTGAATGGCAAGCTCAGGCTGGGAGAACACATTTGTAGGGTATCTATGTGAGGCAGAACGCGAGTCCAGAATAGATCAAGAAATCCTACGGATCAATCATAAAAGCAAAACAATGCAATTTTAAAAGGGGGGGGAATTGAACAGGCGCATCATTAGTCAGGACAGAAAAGCAAATTAAAACCTTGGTGCTACAATCATCACACACCTATCAGGGTGTCCACATTAAAAAAGAAACTTGAAAATGCCAAGTGGGGGCAAGGGTATGAAGCAGCAGGGGTGTTACCTTGCGGTGGGAGTACGAACTCGTAGAAATTTGGAATGCTGATTGGTAGTCTTTACTAAAGTTAAACATTCTTATCCCGTAACCTGGAGATTTCACTGCTAGGGATATCCTCAAGGGAAATGGATGTCCGTGTCCACCAGGAGACACGAGCAAGAAAGCAGACAGTGGCTTTACTGAGGATGGCTGAAAACCGGCCACAACCCCCGTGTTCATCAGTAGCAGAAAGGAAAAGCAAACTGCAGAGGGAGGAACTGTGGGTACACAGCACAGCATGGACGAGTTTCAGGAACATAATGTTGAGCGGAAGAATCCAGACAGGAAGAAGGACATACTGTATGCCAGTTACATGAATATCAAGAATAAACAAAACTAATCTATGGTGATTGAAGCCAGAGGAGTGCTTATCTTTAGAGGCGGGGATGGGCTGGGATCGGGCACGAGGAACATTTCCCATGGTGGAAAGGTTCTAGATGGAAATGTTCTATATCATGATCTGGGTGGTGAATATACAAGTGTATAGATATGTAAAATTTGCCAAGCCTTATGTTACAATTTTTGTGTTTTACTTTAAAGAAGAAAAAGAATCCTTCTTACAGGGGAAAAAAAAAATATATTGCAATCTCTGGAGCCAGACTTGACTGTTTTGGATCTGAGATTGGATATTTTCTTGCTGTGTGACCTCAGGCAACTTACATAGCCTCTCTGTGCCTGAATTCCCCATTGTGGATAAAAATAGTGTCTGGCTCATGGAGTTGTGATGAGGATTAAATGAATTAATGGCTATAACATTCAGAGCACAATTCTGGAACCCACCATTGCCTCCAAGGCTATCAGTTTCTGTTATCAGGTGATGGCTAATCTCCCCTAACCCTGTGAGGTCTCAGATGCTCCAACAGCTCACTTTGCCCCCACTTTGCAGCAACATTGGCTGGCCAGGGCTGTTGTGATATGAGGTTATTGAAGTTATTCTAGCCCTCCCACTAGGAAATACTCCGTTTATCCTTAACGATTACCCTAGAGGCCCTGATGCTTTTTAGTCTTGGCTGTAATTATTTTTAATGTGTGTTACAAAAATAAATAAATAAATTCCAGTGTTCACAAATGTGAAATCTATCATCTGACCAAAAGTGGGAAATAAGTAGATTTCACACTTGGCCAATCTGTGGACAGACAGGTAGTGGGTGCTATTTTATGCCAGTAACCTTGGAGGGAGCAGACTGACCTTCAGTAACCTCACATGCTTCCTGTTTGCTCCAGAAACAGTGACACCGGCCATATTATTACACATATGATTGCATTATGCCTATTTTAAAACCATTTGTCTTGTATGTGCATAGAGCAGAAACTGAAATCATTGTTTGTGGTTTGGGGGTTTTCACATGTTTGCAGTGATGAAAATTGAAATTCTGTCCTACACAGGCAGGGGCTACTTCCCTTTATTAATTGCAGAATAAATACATCTCACTGCAGAAAGGTCTGTTTCGCAGCAGAAGGGCTCCTTGGGAAGTGTTTACATCTAAGCTTGTGGGTAAGTCACTGACAAAGTGCTCTTTCGTAAAAAAATTTTTTTCTCAATATAAATGCATAGAGTAAATGTTTTAACTAGTTGCAGGTCAAAGAAAATATGTCATGTGTGTTAGTATAGGCACAAACAATAATTTATCATTTGAGCCGTGATGTAAAGTGTGTCTGATTTAAATCAGTCAGTCCGCAAATACTGGGGAGTCAACTAGGAGGCAGGTACCTGCTGGATGTTGGGGCTCAGTGAGAATGAGCCAGAGCCTCCCTGTGTCCTCTGGGCCCACAGACCAGTGAGGAAAACACAACTGATCTGTAAATCGGGATGGGTTGCCTCTCTATGAAAAGTAAGATGCCTTAATTTTTTTCCCCCAGTTTTGTTGAGAAAGAATTAACATATAACATTGTACTAGTCCCAAGGTGTACAATATAATGATTTGATAGTGTTTATATCACAAAATAATCACCACAATAAGCTTAGTTAACACCCATCACCTCACGTAGTTATAATTTTTTTCTTGTGATGAGAACTTCTAAGATTTCTTCTCTTAGCAATTTTCAGATACACAATACAGTAATGTGCACCATGCACATGCACCATGTATATTATGTTCTCCAGGACGTATTTATCTTAGAACTACAAGTTTTAACCTTTGGACCACCATATTGATGCCTTCACAATGGATATTGAAATGTTGTCACTCTGAGCTCTGAGGCCCTTTGTACACTTATCCATCCATTTCTCCTTGTAGAACGTCCCACGCAGAACGGTTCATCACAGGAGGAAAAGAAGAGTAAGCCATTTGGGAAGATGGTGAGCAATGGCAACCCTGGGGGAGGGTCAGGGGAAGGTCGTGGTCTCAGAACCTGGAAGGCATGTTAGCTGCACACAAGCCTCCTGCTCTTCCCTCTTCTTGGCTCCAGGCGCCGTAACTACCCCATCTTACTCAGTCACCATGGTACTCTTAGTATTCCCATTTTCCTGATGAAGACTGAGGCTTTGAGAGGGGAGGACCAGCCGGGCACCACAGATGGCTGATGATGGGGCTGGCATCCCATCCATCACTGCCTTTGCAGGTGCCTGGACACTTGAGCCTGCACACCAGGACTTCTAGTAAGGAGGAAGAGCATCATGCCACCCATCCTCACTTTCTCAAGGCGACAATGAACAGTCACAAATGCTTCCTTGTCCAGCAGCCCACTGTGTGGTCCCGAGTGACCTGGTACTCTCTGGTTTCATGCCCTCTCCCTATACATCCCCCAAACTCCGCCACTTACTTCCTCACTCCCTATAGTCCATGTGATGTCCACTCGGTGCTACAAGTTGGCCTGAGGCCACCTCATCTGGAGTGGCCTCACTCAGGATTGCCCTGTGACTTAAAAAAAAATTAACCTTTGAATTTTGAGATAACTGAACATAGAGAGATCCTATGTGCCCTTGACCTAGCTCCCCTCTTGGTCACCTCTTGCAAAACGAGTACAACATCACATCCAGGATGTTGATACTGAAGTCCAGATGCAGAATGCCATCCACACGAGGCTCCCTCCTGCCACTCTGCAATAGCCCCACTCTCTTTTTTTCCACTCCATCCCCTCCTTAACCCCTGACCATCACAAATCTGTCCCCATTTGTGTTATTTTGTCATTTCAAGAATATCACATGAATGGAGTTGTATGGTCTAACCTCTTCAGATTGGCTTTTTCCAGGAGAATTCTCTGGAGATCCATCCAGGTTGTTGGGTGTTGAATAGTTCATTACTTTGTATTGCTGAGTAGTGTTCCATAATGTAGACCACAGTTTCACTATTTCCCTGTTGACAGACATCTGGGTTGTTTGTAGTTTCTGGCTAATCACAGACAAAACTGCTGTAAACCTTTGTGTGTTAATTTTTGTCTCAATGTGAGTTTTAATTTCTCTGGGACAAATGTCCAGGAGTGCAATTGTTGAAAGTTGAGGAAATTGCCCTCTATTTCTATTTTTCTGACTTTTTTTACAACCATGAATAGGTGTTCACTTTTGTCAAGTGCTTTGTCCATATCAATTGGCATGATTATGTGATTTTTCTTCTTCAGTCTGTTAATATGGTGTACTACACTGATGTGCAAATATTGAACCAGACTTTCATGCTTGGGATAAACCCCACTTGGACGTAGTGTATCATTTTAAATGTACATTGCTGAATTCTGTTTGCTACTATTTTGTTAGTGATTTTTGCATTTATATTTATGAGAGATTTTGACCTGTAGTTTTTTAAAAAATATTATCTTTGTCTGATACCAGGGTAATTAATACTAGCTAAATAAAATGAATTGCAAAGTGTTCCCTCCTTTTCTATTTCTGGATGAGATTATAGAGAGTTGATGTGAATTCTTTTTTTTTTTTTTTTTTAGATTTTTTTTATTTAGTTGACAGAAAGAGAGCAAGAAAGGGAACGCAAGCAGGGGGAGTGGGAGAGGGAGAAGCAGGCTTCCCGCTGAGCAGGGAGCCTGACCTGAGCAGGGAGCCTGACGTGGGGCTCGATCCCAGGACCCTGGGATCATGACCTGAGCTGAAGGCAGATGCTTAACGACTGAGCCACCCAGGCGCCCGATGTGAATTCTTTAAACACTTGGTAGAATTCTCCAGGCAAGCTGTCTGGGCCTGGAGAGTTCCCTCTCTTCCTTCCTCCCTCCCTCCCTCCCTCCCTCCCTGCCTGCCTTCCTTCCTTCTTTTTCTCTCTCAGTTTTAAAATGATGAATTCAGTTTCCTTCATAGTTGTAGGGCTATTCAAATAACCTATTTTATATTCAGTGAGTTGTTGTAGTTTGTGCTTTTTGAGGAATTCATTAATTTCATCTAAATTGTCAAATTCGGAGGTGCAGAATTGTTTGTAGTGTTGCCTTATTGTCCTTTGGATGTCTGTGGGGTCTGTAATGATATCTCCTGCTTCACCTCTAATATTGGTAATTTGTGTCTTTCGTGTTTTTTCTTTGTCAGACCTGCTGGAGGTTTTTCAATTTTATTCATCTTTTCTAAATGATCGGTCAGGCTTTGTGTTTCACTGACTTTCTTTATTTTTAATTTATATGCTTTTAGCATTATAAATTTCTGCTCCACATTGAGGTAGCTCTCACACGTGTACTTTCATTTTAATTCAGTTCACTGTACTTTGTTTGCCATTAAGATCCCCTCTTGGATTCATGGATTATTTAGAAGTGTGTTGTTGTTTAGATTCCAGGTTTTTGGAGATTTTCCTATTGTCTTTCTTTTACTGATTTCTAGTTTGATTCCATTTGGGTCAGAGAACACACTCTGCATAATTTCAGTTCTTTTAAATTTATTGAGGTTTGTTTTATGGCCCAGGATATGATCTATGTTAGTACATGTTCCATGAACATTTGAGAAGAACGTGTATTCTCCTGTCATTGGCTGGAGTCGGGTGTTCTAAATACTAATTGGATCCTGTTGGTCAGTCATGCCGTTGGATTCTATATCCTTGCTAAGTTTTCTGTCCAGTTGTTCTAGTGGTTGTTGAGAGAGGAGATGAAGTCTCCAGTTGTAATTGTGAATTTATCTATTTCTCTTTTCAGTTCTATTAAGTTTTGCTTCACATAGTTTGTAGTTCTGTTGTTTGGTTCATTTACATTTAATGTAAGTATTAACATGTTGGGCTTAAGTGTGTATTTTATTTTTTTATTTTTCGTGTTCTCTGGTTTTTCTTTTCCTGTTTTCTTTTTCCTGCCTTCCTAGGAGTCACTTGAACATTTTTTAGAATTGCTTTTTTTTTTAAAGATTTACTTATTTATTTTGAGAGAGTGAGAATGAGAGAGAGAGAGAGAGAGAGAGAGAGAGAGAGTTCATGAGAGGGGGGAGGGTTAGAGGGAGAAGCAGACTCCCCGCTGAGCAGGGAGCCCGATGCGGGACTCGATCCTGGGATTCCAGGATCATGACCTGAGCCGAAGGCAGTCGCTTAACCAACTGAGCCACCCAGGCACCCTAGAATTGCTTTTTGACTTCTCTATGTTTTTGAGAGTATCTCTTCGTATTGCTTTTCCAGTGGTTTCTCTAGGTATTACATTACATAGTGTCTTTTAGTATCATAGTTTTATAAGTTACCGTGTCATGTGCATCCCTTTATATCTCTTTACCCTCCTCTGTTTATAATATAATTGTCTTAAATATTTACTCCACACATATTTAATATTCAGACAATATTACAATTTTTGCTTTAACCATCAAACACAATTTGAAAAACTCAAGAGCAGAAGGAAAGGTTTATTTTGTTTACTCATGTTTTTACTTATGGTGCTCTTTCTCTTTTTTGATACATAATATTTCCTTCTTTTACCATTTTCTTTTTCTAAAATTTTTTGTTCTTTTACCATTTTCTTTATGTTTTAGAGAACTTCCTTAAGCCATTCTTTTAGGGTAGGTCTATTGGTAACAAATTTTCTTAAATTTATCTTAATTTCCCTTTCATTCCTGGATATTTTTTCTGGATATAAGGATCCTGGTTGATAGTTCTTTTCTTTCAGCAAGTGAAAAGTGTTGTGCCAATTCTTTCTGACCACTATTGTTTTCAGTGAGAAATCTGCTGTAATTTGAATTGCTTTTTCTTTCCAGGTAAGATATCGTGTGTCTTTCACTGCCTTCAGGATCTCTCCTTTGCCTTTAGTATCAGAAGTTTGACTATGGTGTGTCTTATTGTAGATTTCTTTGGATTTACTCTCTTTGGAGTTACTCAACTTCTTGAATCTTTTGAATTTGGAGGTTTCTGTCTTTTGCCAAATTTGGGAAGTTTTTAGCCATTATTTCTTTGAGTATTTTCTTTTTCTTAAAGATTTTCTTTTTTTTATAAGAGAGAGAGAGCGTGCATGAGTAGGGGGAGGAGCAGAGGAGGGGGGAGAGAGAGAATCGCAAACAGTCTCTGCACTGAGTGTGGAGCCTGTCCCAGGGCTCAATCTCATGACTCCAAGATCACGGCCTGAGCCAAAACCAAAGGTCAGATGCCCAACTGACTGAGCCACCCAGACACCCCTCTTTGAGAATTTTGAACCTCCAACCACCCTTCTGGAACTATAAATTTTCCATTAGATCTTCTGTTATGGTCCCATATGTCCCTCAGCTTCTGCTCATTTCTTGCACAGCCTATTTTCCCTCTGTGTCCAGACTGGGTAATTTCTGTTGTTCTATTTTCCAGTTCTTCTATTGTTTCCCTTCTCCTCTCCATTCTGCTGCTGAGCCCATCTACTGAGTTTTCCAATTTGGGTATCATATTTTTCAGTTCTAAAATTCTGTTTTATTTTTTATATCTTTTATTCCTCTGCTGAGACTTTCTGTCTTTTCATTTGTTTCAAGTGTGTTCATAATTATTCACTGAAGCATTTTGATGATGGCTGCTTTTAAATCTTTGTTAGGTAATTGTAACATTTTTGTCATCTTGGTGTTAGCATCTACTGATTGCTTTTTTTGTGAATTTCTTGGTTCTTGGATAATGAAAGACTTCTGTTGGAAACCTAACTATTTTTGGTATTAGGAGACTTGGGATCTCATTTAAGCTTTCTGGTTTAGCTGGCTTCCTCTGACATCACTCAGGTAGGAGAAGTGGGAGGGCACTCCCTCATTACTGCCAGGTGAGGGTAGAAGTCCAGGCTCCCTGCTCAGTCTTTGCTGACATCCAAGGGAGGAGCTCCTCATTACTGCCGGAAGGGTTGGCCACCATTCACACCTCCCTGGCCAGGAGAAGTAGACCTTATTATTGCTCCCCACATGATCTCCACTGACACCATGATTTGGGGAGAGAGTGCTGTCCTTGTTAACACTGTGTGGTGGTGAAAGTCTTGAATCTACTGGATCTCCTCTGCCACCACTCCAGTGAGGAAAGGAGGAGCTCCTCATTATTGCCTGGTGGGGATGGTCTCAGCCTCTGTATATGGCCTTCTCTGACACCATTTTGATGAGGGGTGGGGCAGTTTTGGGTGCTTACAGCCTGAGGAGCATGGAAACCTAGGCTCCCCACTCACCTTTATTAGTGTAGGTGGGGTGTGGTGTTTGACTGGTAGAGCAGCAATTGTCTAAAAAATGTCTATATTTCTAGGATGCCCCTTTTCTGTTCTTTTGGCCAGAGAGAGTAGCTTTTTGTTGGGGCTTGCTTTATTTGTGCCCATGAGCATTTCCACGTTCTTGGTTTCTTCACATGAAAATCTGGGATATATGAGGCACAAAGAGAACCCAGAGACCTCACTGCAGTGTGGTTCTTGGGTCCCAATGTCCCTGGGCCATCTGCCTTGTGCTCTCCACCTTTCAGGGTCGCCTCATGTGCTTTGTACAATGTCCAGAGCTTTTAGTGGTGCTCAGGTGGGGGGGATAGAGAAAAGTATATCTACTCTGTCTCCCCACTAGCCTGCCTGTGATTTTTAACAGATTGAATGTGGGGCTTCTTCAGATCTCTGTCCCTATTGGAAAGAGCTGTGGTGCTCAAGTGAAAGAGGTGCTCAGCAGGAGTCAGGAAACCTGGGGCTTTTCAAACCTCATGGAACCTCAATCTCCTTATTTCCAAGTTGCAGGATCAGGATCATTTACTGAGATAATTTCTGAGGTTAATTTCCTTACTTTAGCTAATTTCCCCTCCCCTTCTTTAAAGAGTAGCCAAGTCTTTTTTTTTTTTAATTAAATTGTTTTTCTTTGCCTTAGGGACTTTTGAGTTGCAGGGTCCCGCCCAGAAGTTTCTAAACATGCAGAAGATAATTTCTCCAACCAAATTTTTGCTTTCAAAAGCTCAAATTCAAGTAGGTGATTGCCCAGGGCTTCCTGGGAGGTAGGAGAAGGGCAGCTGGTGACCTGGAGGAGAGAGGCAGGAGGCTCAGGAACAACATCTCGGGCCTGGGGAAGGGGAGGGGTAGGGCTTGCATCTCACAGGAGAGCTCAGGTGTCCCAGGGAGGTAAGAGGGCTTCAGGGCACTGAGCACACAGGACTTGAGCTGTGGTCTTTGGAGCCAGGAGACTAGATCTGTGCCCGAGTGGGCAGGGAATGGAGGCACTGCCTTCCAGGGACCAGGGGAAGATTATTTGACTGCTAAGGAAAGTAAAATGTGGCCTGCTCTGTATCTGGGGCTGGGGTGTCAGATTCTCGTGTGATCCAGTGATGGCATCTGCCCTCCTAACCTGCG